ATCGGTCTATAATTCGTATAAATTTTAATCTTTTGTATTTTTATATTTCTGTCAATTTTGGAGCAAATTGCTCTATGGTGCTCTATGGTGCTCTATGCTCTAACATTCTCAAATTTAGGATATTTGCGCAATTGTGAGTATCTTGTAATTAATTTGAATCGAATATGTGCATAATAGTATATTAAAAATCGTAAGATTATTCTATTCAATAATAAAATTCCGATTATATTGTGCATTTTGAATCGCAGTATTTTTTTTAGAATAATTTTTTTTTTGCGTATTATCGGTCTATAATTCGTATAAATTTTAATCTTTTGTATTTTTATATTTCTGTCAATTTTGGAGTCAAAATTGCTCTATGGTCTTTCGAATAGTCATTTTTTGTGGCGTCATCAAATTTAATTATTATTAAATTTGGTTAAATTAGATTTATGATGTAAAATATTTTAATTAAATAATAATTTCGCATATTTTATTTTTGCAGTTTTTATTCGTAAAATAGGAAAATATTATAAATAAAATGTATATTTTGATTTAGATTTTTAGTATGACAAGTAGTATGTACAAATATATATTCATTAAATGTATTTTCAAGTTACATCTGGATTTTGAAAATATTTTTTACAACTTTTGCTAGCACTATTTCAGTATTAATATATAAAATTGCTTTTGTTTGCTCTCACATATGTATTTTTCCGAAATATCCAAATAAAAGTTTCGTTCAACTGATTTTATATTCTGATATTAAACAAGAAATATAAAATCACGGAACGAAAAAACAACTAAAAAAGTTCATTCAGTTACAAAATAATATTTTATGGCAAGAAATTTTTAAATTTTTAAATATTCAAACAAAATAAACATCAACAAAAAATTCACAAAATTTCCAATCGTCTGATCCTGTTCCATCAATTATAATACCAAAATAAAAAGTGTCGATATAATAAATTTCAAAAAACAAAGAGAGAAAATACAGAGCCTACCATCGGCCTACTCATAATCCATACCGTGCATCTAGCAACGCTGACTAACTGGTCAAACCTCTCCTCTCCGTATGCACTATCTATGCATGCAAGCCGTAGCAATAAATAATCGGTCTTTGTTGAAAACACCGCCCCGTCCTCGTGAATTTTTCCACGGTGGAACAGCACCTCACAAAGCCCCTTTTCGGATCCTATCTCGTTCGATGCACGAGCCTCGTTCTGACTCATTCTGACGCTCGATGCAAACTCTTCTTCTTTTTTTTTTTCCACGATGCAACTGCCAACCAACACGTGCAATCATGTTTCACATAGACACGTGTATAAACACGTTTACAACCGGTTGGCGAATTACGAGCTGGAAACGCATCTCCCTCCCCCTCTGTGGTGCTTGAAAATATCCGCGATGCTCGTCGAGTGGATCTCCCTCGGCGCCATCCTGGCCAAAACGAGCACTCTCGTTTCCGAATATCAGACGTTTTACAGAAACTCTTCTCATCCAGCGAGAAAGTTTCATCCACGAGAAACGATGATACGACGAGAGGTTATATTTTTCAGATTTTCGTGGGGTGAGGATGCTTGGAGATAGATGAGATGATAGGCTATTGGATAGAGTTTCGAAGAAATCTTGAGATCTATGTTTTCAAAGGTTTGTCTTGCATTGTGAAAATGTTGTAATTTTTGAGATCAATTTAAATGTTTTAAGATTAGATATTCAAAATGCATATATTACAAAATCAATTTCAATTGTTCAATTATAACAAAACAATGTGATTCTTAGTGGTACAATTTGAATCGATCTTGATATTGCCAATGTCACTTTAAATCCTCGAAACGGATTTATTCATCGGATTAATCCAATGGAGGCATTAAAGATTCAAATATCGAGGAATGAATCCTCCGAGACATCTCTGTATTATTAGAGATTTTTCTCCCCCCTTATTTGCATCGAAAGTACGAAAATCCCTCACTGAACGAAGACGATTTGTCGTTCATCGAGATGTACAAGCGCCAGACGGAAATAATGAACTCGTGCGTAATAACGTAACGGCAGCTTCCTGCCAATAACATGGACTTTTATTGCGCGATCCAACCAGCCAATGGCGGTCGTAAATCGTGCTGGTATCGTGACAATAAAATCCAGGATGACGCGTGTTTCGAGTTGAAAACCGATCCACGTAATAAACGTATGGAAACAGGATTCGTTTGCCAAAGCATTTTCACTCTCTTGCTTCTTCTTCCCTTCCTTAACCGTGTGTCATCAGTTTCCACGAGTTGGCGGTGGCGACAAGTATGAGGTCGTGTAAATAGAATCTCCTTCAGAGACGTTTATGTCGTGCATTAAAGAGGCGCGTGGTTGACGATGACTGATGACGATTTCCAGAGAATCGTGAAGAGGATTCAAGGCAATTTATGGTTGTTGAATGGTGGACAGTGGTTTGTATTTTGTATTTTGTAGTTTTAAGTTGGAGGGATTGTTTTTGATAATCGATTATAGATAATCTTAGTTCGATTATGATGGAAGAATGTGAATAGAACGTGGATTAGCGATGATTTAAGGTTGAAGGAATTGAAGGATGTTTGATGATCTTGATCATTAATCATTGATGTGATTTAAGGGTTTGACGAAGTTTTATTGTGTAAGATGAATCGACGAATGTTGGACGTAGTTTGGTGACGATTTGACGTAGTTTGAAGAATATCAATGATTTCCATGTGATTATAATGAATGATGGAAGAAGATGAATGGATGTTTTTTAATTATCGTGCTTATGATAAATGTCAGAAATGTACGTGAATGAACGATGCTGATTTGGGAAATGTTGTTCAAAGTTTAACTTGAGTGAAGTTTAATAATTGATAGATCATCGTAAATGATTGAGAGCGAATATTAGAACAGAAATGATGTTAATGATTGATGATTTGAGGAAATCTGTTTAGCGATTAATTTAGTGTATAACAATGGTTAATATTCGATGAGGAACAAATGTGACAAGATTTGATTAAATTTGAGAGAAGTTTGATGATTAATGGACGACACGATTATCGTTGATCAATATTAAAAGAAAAGAGATATAGAAATTATTGAACAAATAATTTGGTTCAAATATCAATGATCATTGATGATACGAAAATTTTATTGTAACTAATATTTGATGAATGTAGTTGAAAAATTAATTAACTCGACTAAAACTTTTCTGGATCATTTCCAATCAAATGATAGGAATTCAAGATTAAAAAAAAAAGAAAAAGGAAAGTTTCTCTTGATATACAAGTTGGAAAATTACATCCTTCCTTTCTAAGAATGTTTAACATAATATTCTTTAGTAGTAAAAGCCGATACATAGCGAGACGAAGTCATAACGCGAATTAAAATTACCCTCGACGAAAGTTGGCATGGAAGAGTTTCTAAGCTGGAGGCTCTTCTCAAAACTTTTCTCAACATCCTAGGAAAAAATAAAAAAATAAAAAAAAAAATAAAAAAAAGAGAGAGAAGAACACTTTCAAACAGGATTTCACGGTTTCGTTGCCCAAGGGTATTCATCGTAACAGCGATAGCGTTTGACGTTCTACTGAGATGAAATTTTGCATTACGTGTATTAAGTGTTGTGCAGAAGACGAGAAGCTTTAATAGAATAGATAATATCTGTAAGGAGGATATTGGTGGTGGAAATTTCCTTTCGCATCCATCGTTGCAGCGAGATTACGAGGGTGGTATCGCGTTTTAACATTATCGGATATCTAATAGAGAATCGATAAGGAAAGATGATACTTGGATGTAATTGGACAATTCTGATCTGTTTCTGACTTTTTTGGATCGTAAGCGTGCAATAAAACGTCGATTTTTATCTATGAAAATGATATTTTGATAAAAGTTATGAAAACGCATGGACACTTACTTATTTTAAATATAAATCGATCGATATATTAATGATAATGTTTTTTTATTTATATCCATCTAATATTGTAATATATTATAGAATTCGAAAAATTGAAAAGTAGTTATTTCATGATACATCTTCTTTACGATATAATAGGTAACTTAATTTTAGGATTTATATTTTTTCCTGTGTAACAAAATGTAATTCACTCAAAAAGAAATTTTTTTTTAATTCTTACAATAATAATCTATATCAATAATTAATTTCTTACGAATAGATAATATTAAAATGTAAAAATTTTCAGGTGTAAGAAATACGAATCCAAAGTATCTTTCCAAACTACGTGATCATAAAAATCACTTTTCCCTCATCCTGATTGTAATCGATGCAAGGCTATTTATCTTCTTTAATATTTATCGATGCCAAGTGACGGGAGCGTAATAGGTTGCTGATGTTCGAAGGATGTCATCCTGAATATGGAGAAGCTGCGATCAGCCTTGAAGGGAATATAATCGCTGGAATATAAGGGGAGGAAGGAATCGAAGGAGTCAGGTATCGTGTGCATTTATATTTATAAACGGTGACGTGTACCCCTCTCTGATTCGTTGCTGATTCCTGACAGTGAACATTAACGCGTCACCACGTTGTACAATTAACGAAGTATTTCGTGACAGGACTGTTTGAGTTGACAATTGTTTTTTCGACGAAGGGACGAGGTGAAGGGAATCCTTGACGATGCTATGGATGCAATTAGAAGGATGTTATCCTCTCTGAATTTTAGATTTGAGATTTTAAGGAAGAAAGGAAAATTTGTTGAATTTTTTTTTTTTAATTGTTAGGACGTTCCAACATTTGGAATATTCAAAATATTTTTGAAAACTCGAAATTAGAATGTTTTAAATGTGAACTTTTTTGGGGAAATTTTGGGTATTATTGGTAATTTTATAAAATTTCGAAATTTTGAATATTCCAATGAAGAATTTTAGAATTGTTTCTTCTTATTTCAAGTTTTATATAAAAAAAATAATTTACTTCATATGATCCCTCTCTTGTTTCCAGTAAATGTATTCATTTTTTTTCTCCAAACAATGAGCAAACGCCCCCAAACACAATTTTATCTAATGAGATTGTTCCACAAAATGAGTTCCACAAAAAGTAACAATTTCTTTTTCTTGACTCGTAAGGAGGAGGAGAAGGAGGAAAGGACCAATTGCGCTTTAGCATTCCGGCTGGCAAAGGGAATTTGCACGGAAATTGAATTGCATAATGAAGACGGACAGACGTTCGCGACAATAGCGACGAATAGCGAGCGATTCAATTTCCAAGTTGCTACGTATGGAGAACTTGGTGGAGCGCTTCAAAAGCGACAACTTTCTCTGGTCATAAAGCCGTGAAAGTCTAAACTCGTCCCTGATAATCCATAGTTGTTCAGTTTCTCTTCTGGAATAATCAAAAATAAGTAATTTCAATTGTGTTCGATCTAATTTTACTTAATATTACAACGTTATTATAGAAATGCATATTTATTTTTTTTTACAGTTGTCTCTGGTATAGTAATAGGATTTTAATATCGACTACTAAAAAAAAGAAACATTTATTAAAATTTCAATTATTAGTAATTTTTCTAAAATTCGTAATTTTGTAAATAGGAATGGGGAAAAAGAAATGATTGAACAAGTATAAACAAGTTTCATAGATGGTAATAATTTTTTTCTTACTTTATTCAAAATTTTTCCATTTTTCGATATAAAAGTATTTAACAATACTTTAAAATTTCAGGAGTACACAGTTAATTGTAACTTATTTCATATGATTCAAATGAACAGAACCGATCTCGTTGCGCAGGGGTGAGCGTTAAACCAACCCCTCGACGACGAACGAAAACTCAATTGCGAAAGAAATATAAGTAAGTAGTTGAATTGTTGCCAGAGGCATTAAAGAAATGTTATTCTAGGATTATCCGTTGTTTCAAGTCCCCCGTACTTATTGCACTCAGGATAACAACTTTTGAACAAACATATCTCTTCTTCTGGAACATCGTACTTGTCAACTTTACACACTTCATCGTTTATATCTCTTTTTCGCATGCCCTTAATCCTCTGCACTCGATCGTGAGTTGATCGTGTCTCGTACGTGATTTCTTTCCTTTTTTTTTTTGTAGTTGAGTGTCCAAAATAGGAATTTAAAAAAGAAATTTAAGATCGTGAACCGTTGTCTCGTACGTGATTTCTTTCCTTTTTTTTTGTAGTTGAGTATTCAAAATAGGAATTTAAAAAAGAAATTTAAGAACGTCCTGGAAAATTTTTTAGATTCGTGAAAGATTCGAAGAAATTTCATAAGAGTGGTTTGAAATTCTTAGAGAATATCTTCTTTCTCGTTCCTAAGAAATTTGTCGAAAACTAAAATTTTAATGAAGTTTCAGCTTTCACGTATGACGTGTGGATTTCAATATTATGATTCATAGAAATTTTTTGAGTTTCGAAACATTTTTAAACTTTAGAAATTGTAATAGCTATAGCCTAGCTATACTCGATTCCTAGTTTTCTTTAATTTCAGATATTTCTTTCTATTCGAATATATAGGATATAATATATTAGAATTAACGTAGAATCGCATTAACAATTTTTTAATTATATAACAATCCATAGACCTTCAAATAGTTCAAATAGTACGAAAATAACGAAGGTTAAAAAATGCAGGAACGTCAAAATGACCGCATCCGAGCTTCTAGTGTTAATTATTCACTAACTCACTTATATCTTCCTTCTCTCTCTCTCTTTCATTCACCAACCTCGTTACTTTCTCTCTCGCTCCATTCTTTTCTCTCAGCATCTCTCTCTCTTTCTCTCGCATACACATTTCTTACCTCTTTTAATTCCCTAGTAAAAGGGGTACGGACGAGGTTTGCGGTCGGAAAGCAGGCCACTAGGCAAGGTAGAAGGGCGAGGGAGGGAAGGTAGGGGGTGGAAAGGACATCTAATGCGGTCTTTTCTCGGGTCGAGGACGAAAATGGCAAGTAGTGAAGGACGATTCCACCTTCTTTCTCTTAATTTTCCTCTTTTCCAACTCTTTCTCTCTCTCTTTCCATCCCCTTTCCATTTCCAATCTCCCTTTCTCTCGTCTTTACGTTTTCTTTCCGTTTTCTTTTTATTTTTTTCCAGACTTCATCGCTCGATTTTTTTTTACTCATTTTCCTTCTTCGTTTTAGTCTCTTTCTTTAGTCTCGTGTTTCGCCTAATTCCGTGTAATGGCAGCGAACATTCTGTTACCTTCATGGACTGTTTCTGACTCGTAGGCTGCAGCTTACGTTCAGCTCGATTCCTTAGTAAGATGGAGCTTGTTACTTTCGAGTTTGCTTTGAAAGCTTGTGTGCATTGTGTGTATTTGGTTGGATTCGTTTCATGGGAAATGCAGGAAATATGGTTAAATGGAAGGTTGTGAGTTGGTCGAGACTTAAAATAATTTTCAAACTGTTGATTGAAAAATTTTATAAATTCGTTATTATTTATTTAATAGGGGCTGTTTTTAATTTATGAAAGTTAGAAAGGAGAAACTTAAACAAGTTTCAAAATAAACATTTTAATTATAGAAATAACTTTGCAATTACTCTGTAAATTAAAAAAACTTACTTTATTTTAAGACAAAAAAAGAGCAAAGGGATGTCGTTCTTTGTCTTTCATATCATAAATTTTATTCAAAATTCAAGTTATTTTTTAAAATAACAATCTTTTATTACAAATAGCTTAGTGGTAGATTAAAATCTGCATTAATTAGTGCAGTCTACGATTCCAAATCAAATAATAATAATACTGAATTTTTATTTGAAATATTCAAATAAAAGTTTAATAATTTCGAGGAACTTGTTATTAATAAAACAATTTCAAAAATATCAAAAAAGAATATGCTCACCCTGCATAAAGGATAAACTTATTACACTTTATGTGTGTGTACATGCTTTGTTGGATCGTGTTTCTGGACGTTTGCTCTGGCTTCTCCTCTTGTTGTTGCCTCTGAAAGGGATATGTTGGCTCGATCATTATTCGTGGATGCTGTTTACGTCAGTTTCTTCAATTTCTGTTGCGTTTAGTTTCGTGGCACGATTTAGTTCATAGTTTCATAGTTGATGAATACATTTGCATGAACTTCCTCTATTCCAGTTTTGCAACAGAAATTCACGATTAAGTTTTGAACTCAGGATCAGGGATCTTCTTCCGCGAAGAAAGTAAATTGAAGTGTCGATGTTTTGCTCGAGTTTGTTGCAAGGCAAAGAAATACTTTTGAGAGTTTTGAGATGGTCTTTAAAATTTGGAAATGTTTAATTTCGTATCTGTATTAAAATTATTATTTTGGAATTTTTATTTGGATAAATTTTTTTATAATTTGTAAATTCAATTATATATTCTATACTCGATTTTTTTCCAAATTTTAATCAGGAGTAAAGTGTTCTTAATAGAATTTATTAATTAATAAAAGTCACAAGTACATTTTTATAATATTTGAAATAGTTGTTTTGATATTCCATATACGTTTTACAAGTTCTATAGAGAAGTTATATTTGCTATTCCAACTCCAAGAGATATTTCTTGCTGC